AAACAAAAAAATTTTATAGCCCGAAACAAAAAAAAAAAAAAAAAAAAAAAAAAAATAGCGACACAGGAGGGCCTCTTCCATATGTAAGAATTATGTATTGTAATTTCTCTCTCTCCTTTTAGCTGCTCTCTAGAAGTATAAAGCACACGCTTCTGAACTCAACTGTGGAAATGAGCAGCACTGGACTGACAGTTCAGCTCAGTGAGAAAAGACCTGAGGTTGAATCCCCAGAACCACCTACCAAAACAGTGGCCTCAAAGCCTCACCTGGAGGTTCCTCTTGGCTTCTGGGTTCCTTTTTGGTCTCCATGTCCCCTGAGGCCTTGAATGGGGTGAGTGTGGCCCCCATCCGGGACAGTCTGCCTGGTGGTGTGTCCTCTCGTGAGCTTAAAAGCACATATCATGTTAATGTCTCGGGAGGTGAGGAGCTCATAAATATGGGTGTGTGTACACACGCAGTGATGTGTGCAAGAGAAAATATATACCATCTTACCTTGGTCTCTCCTTCAGCTTCTCACTGGAGGAATGATAATCATAATCAGAATACTGCTGGCGTCTTTCCTCTGGAGAAAATGACCGGACTGACCCCATTTCTGAGATATCTGGTTTCAAAATTAAGAGACATTTTTCGTAAAATATTTACGACATGTGCCAGAAATTATACTGTTTTCTGGGTAAGAGATATGGGAAATGGAAGACAAGCAGACAAAGAGGTGATATTAGTGTAATAGTCTTTACCTGACAAAGGAAAAAAAAAAGTTCAGCTTAAGGTAAAGAAATAAAGAGGAAGTCAAATTCAGAAGTGTGTCTTTCTTTCATCCCACTTTCCATCCAAGCTGCTACTGAAAGGTCAAAATTCCATTACAGTCTTTCCTCAGAGTCTGCAGAGTGGTTCTAAGACCACTCTTCCAATCAAACTTTGCCAATACTCAGGTCTCCGCTGTGAGATGGCACAGAGTTTGCACTTAGCCCACACACATCCTCCCGTATGTAGGCTGCTGAATCCTATCTGGATTACTCATAACTCCTAATACCATATGGATACTGCACAATTCACTGTGCTCTTCAATGTTTAGGCAATAACAATGAAAACAGAAAGTCTTAAACAACAGAAAACAGAGCTCTGAGAGGGAAGGAGGTTTTGGCAGTTCAGGAAATGCAAGCTGTGCTTTGTGGAACACTCTGGAATTTATTTTCCCCAATAGTTTCACTTTGTGATTGGCTGAATCTAATCATGCAGAAGTCAAGGATACAGAGGACCAACTGTCCTAAATCATATACGTATGTTCTCGTCCTTACCAAAATAGGCCAGTGCTTTTAATTTCACTGCGCATTAAAACCACCCAGGGGTTTCACTCGGATGCAGCTGTTCTGGGCTGGGGCCTGAGATCCTGCAATTGCCTCAAGCTCCCAGACCACACTGCCACAACTGTGGGTGGAGAATCACACTTTTACCGGCAAGAACACAAACTGTAAAGTCCTGACACACTGGGATTACTTCTCACCATCCTTTTGTTTCCTGCACTGCATTAACAGCACTGACCAACTAATCAAACTTTTGGTATGCTGGAAATGAAATGAAGACTTTTTAAAGAAATTCTGTGAGGGCTGGGGATTTAGCTCAGTGGTACCACACCTGTCTTGAAAGCACAAGGTCCTGAGTTCAATTCCCAGTAACAAAAACAAAACAAAAAATTTCTTTGAAAACATAATATACAAAGGCTTGTTTTTAAAGTTTAAGAACTTAATTTTTCTTAGTTTTCCCATACAGAAGCAACAGTAGATGATTAAGTAGGATATACCATGTCTATTGTTACTGATAATTATTACACCTTATAAAAAATGTTATTCTATGTATAATTTATAGCTGAATGAATATAGATAGCTTTCAAAAAGAGAAGATAACCTAGACTACTAACCAGTGAGTATCACAATATTAGCCTTGTTGACTCTATTTCAGCATTACATGTTTTAACTTGCCTCTAAATTGTCTTTTCTACTGGAAATACTAATACCCACTTTTAAAAACAAACGTAAGTAAATGTAAGAAAGCGAATGGTACTGGTTAGTGAATCTAGGGCCTTGTGCATGCCTGCTGGAGAAGTATTTCACCACTGAGCTACACCATCAGCCCTGTACATTTTGAAACAAATTCTTATTAAGCTTTTAAGTGTCTTTAACTTGTACTCCTCTGGCCTCAACCTTCCCTGGTACTAGGATTACTGCCATGTGCCACATCTGTTTTTTATTTTTTATTTTTTTTAAAGATGGGGAATCTCACCACATTGCCCAGGCTGGCCTTGAACTCAGCTAGTGCAACTCCTGCCTCAGCCCCTGGGGTAGCTGGGGTTACAAGTGTGTGCCACTGTGCCCAGCCTGCATATATTATTTATTAACAGGTTTTGGTTTCAGTGGCCTAATTAAGAGCCTTCGAGAAGTTCCCAAGTGTGCAGTACCAGAATTTCATACTAGAAACCTAATTTCAGCAGATACTTTCATAAGCAGTTAACTATTAAACATTTATCTCTGGAAATTACAGTTTAGAAGAGAGGCTGGAAATTCAACCTCTAGCTTGGATGGTTGTGGTAAACAATGATGAGGGTCCAGTATCCACAGCTCTCCTGTCTTCTAACTAAGACTTTCCTTACCTTCTATTTCAGAGTCACTATCATTTAGTGATGGGATATTGATGAGCGTCTGCTTGCTGTCTCTGAACACCACGAGCTGGAGTTTTCCTCTGGACTTCTCTATCAGCTTCCCAGCATCGATTAAAGACATGTTCTCAGTGACAGTTCCATTAATCTGTGTATACGGATGGCGATATTATATACAACTCTGTACAGCTAAGTAGAAAAATTCATATTTTCCCCTTCTAAAATATGTAAAGGCTCAGCTCAGATATTTAAATGGACTAGGACTTCTGGATGACTAAAAATGAATGGTCCTTTAAATTAAATATCACTGGGCATGCTTGGATCCCAAATACAAGCATGAAAGAACCATACTACACTTAGTTTGCTCATTTAACCTCCAAACCCAAGATGATGGCTTACTTTACTCCCGGAACACGTTTCCTCACTGGAGAAGTTTACAAAACTAATACACATTCAATGTTCATATGCCACCATCTTTCCTTGGTTTAGGACAGTGGTGGTGAACCTAGGGTACTTATGCTGATACATGGTTGAAAGCTCTAAAAGGTTTGCCATGACTGCTTTAGGAAACAGAAACTACATTGAGGTGGTTCAATACACTACTACCAATAAGTCTGGTGTGCTTTTTGTTCTGTAGTGCTGCGGACTGAGCCCAGGGCCTCACGCTCACTAAGCAAGCACTCTGCTACTGGGTCTGGATTTGCTGATAAAATCGTCCCACTATGCTGTTCCTCCTGGTCTCTTGCTATCAACTGAGTCAGTTCGTATTGGCACTTGAGTGCAGATATGCAGATAAGGAATGTATGCAGGCACACAGCTGTTCCCTGTCCCCATCTGCCCACCTTAAGGATCAGGTCCCCTTCATGAAGGCTGCCATCTTTAGTTGCCAGACCCGTTTTGGTCATTTCCTTGATGAAGATCTGACTGCCTAGCCGGAGGCCATACTCTAAGAGACAAACACATAAATACACACGCGTTTCATTAACCTGTTCAGAAAAAAGTCTGGCTTTCAGGAACAATTAACAGTATTTATGAAAACTTAAATTTTTATATGAGACATTCTTAAGACAATGGCCTGGACTCTTCAATTGGGGGGGGTGCTGTTCTAGATTAAGACAGACATAAAAACCAAATGTAATTCATGAACCGTTATCAGATCGTTGATCCGATAAGGTGAGGGGAGGATACATTATTTGAGCAATTCCAAAAGGAATCATACTAAAGGCTGTTAATATTTGTTTCCTTAAGCATGATAACCTTATTATGGTGGTGTTGGAGAAGGTTCTTATTCTTTAGAGATTTCACCTGCTAAAATATTTATGGGAAACAGGTGTCACAGCCTACAATTAGCTTTCAAGTGCTTTCTCATTTAAACACGGTGAGAAAAATGGGTAGAGGTTGGAGAGGAAGAGAGTAGAAAGAAAAGAAAAAGCAAGAAAGCAAACACAGCAAAATGTCAACAGCAGGTAAAACTGGGTGAAGATCACGTGGGTAAGTGCTACAAAATTAACTCTTTTTAAATAAAATGTTGAAGGAAAAAAAAAACCTCAAGACATCTTAGCTGATGGTCTTCTTCTAACAATCAGTTGCCCACAGGAATTCCATGCACACGATACACCTTGATCTATAACAATTCAGGTTGTCTGGGGTCTGTGCTTGGGACATGCATTCAGCACATGAAAAGGGATTAAATAAGGTAGGCAAGGCAATTGCTAAAGCACTGAATGAAAACCAGCAGAGCTGGTAGTGGAAGGTTTGCACTTTGACTTGATATAAAAATAATGTTATTTACTAGGGTTGACTAATTTTAAATACTACTATAACTATTCTGATTTTTACTTATTAAGAATGTAAAAAATAATACACAGGGCTGGGGAGGTAGCTCAGTGGTACTGTGCCTGCCTGGCAAGTGCAAGGCCCTGAATTCGATTCCTAGGACCAATACATAAATAAATAAAAAAGTAATGCACATAAGGAAGAATTTTGGTTACTTTAGGAAGCCATTCATAATCTAGCATATTTGAAAATAGGCACATTCAAATTTATAAAATTACTTTCTGAATGAAAATCTCATAACTAGAGAACACAGTAACTTTCTATAATTCAGGAAAGTTATAAAGTATATTTTCGAATTTGCAAGCAAGTTTTAATGATTTACAGACAACCTGCGAGCATCAGATTTGACAACAACGATTAAAGTGTGAAGGCACACGGCCCACCCCTTTAGCAAGACTGACATCAATGAACAGGGCAAGGGCGCATCTGCTCCCACTCCTGACAGTTAATGACAGGCAGCGTCAAGCCCGCCACAGCAGGCTGGGACAAGGTGGACTGACCAACTTCTTTCTAATAAATTCCCTCTACCTTCTTCAAAACCGTACTCTCGTGGAAAGTCTGCAGGGCTATTGGTCCTTATGTGCACAGGCCTCCCTCTCTTTCTCCCCCTCCCTCTCCTTTTTGCAGTACAGTAAGTCCCCATTTATGACAGAGTTCCATTCCAGAAGAAGGATCGCAAGTTTGACAAAGTGAATTCCATACAGCTTTGACACAAATATACAATGTGAAGCATAAAACAGCAGCAACAACAACAAAAACACATAAACAAGTACTGTAAATAAACTATTTTTACTTTTACAGTTACCTTCAAATGGTAAGGCGGACACATTAGCTACTTCCGCAATTTGATCTAGGAATGTTCCTAATGTGAGGTTCATTTTTATCTGTGAAAGACTGCAGCTCGAATGTTCTTAAGTCAGGGACTTACTGTACTGAGGATTAAACCTGAGCAAGGATTCTCTACCAAGCTACAACCTTAGACTTCTTTTTACTTATCATCCTGAGACAAGGTTTCATTGAGTTGAGATCTCTCAATCCATCAGCCTCATGAGTAGCTAGGATCACAAGTAATGGCTACATAAATAAACAATACTTTCTTTTCTTTTGTCTTTGTGCATGTGTATGGTAATGGGGATTGAACCAGGGTCTTTGCACTGAGCTACATCCCCAGTCCTTTTTTAAAACAAACAAAAAGACAGAGTCCTGCTAATAAGTTTTGCAGGCTGGGCTCAAACTTGTGATCCTCGGGCTGGGAATTTAGCTCAGTGGTTCGGTGGCCTGCCCTATAAGCACAAGATCCTGAGTTCAATCCCTGGTACCAAAAAATAAAGTAAAATAAAACAAAATTTGTGATCCTCTTGCCTCAGCTTCCAAGAGTGAATTTTTTCTTAATATAGATCTGATGCTAGACTGCTTCAAAGATTCATTCTTATGTAAACCCAACTAGTGATAGCTAACACATCATATTAGCAAAAGTAGCAACATTTTTAAAAAATGAAGAGCTAGAAATGCAGCTCAATGGTAGAGTACTTGGCTGATGTGCATAGGGTTCTGGGTTCTAAATGGGAGATGGGGTGGTGTGGTGGGGTTGTTTAATGATTTCCAAGTTTGGGCAACAAAATGGCCAAGAAAGAGAAACAGCAAAGGGACATAACACCTTTTCTTCCTTGATTTACTAAGACCAATAAAAGCTTGGGTAGTTTCTTAGGACAATGTCTACAAATTGTGGCTGTAGCCTATTGGTGGATCCTGAAATCAACTTAGTGACCTGTAAGCAATATTTTAAAAGTTTGATGTAATGGAACTTTTCTCAGGGAATATCACATAGAATAAGTAATGTTCCTTGAAAATTCTATTCAAGTTTTTAATACTTAGGTGCCTCCATGGCTGTCTACAAGATAAGGTTCTTTCCATGCCAGGAGGAAGAAGAAAAAGAAGAGGGAGGGAATAAAGGAAAGAAAACATGGAAAAAGCAGTGCTTTCACTAACTCAAAATTCTGGGATGTGTGTTTCAGACTTCTCTACGGGCCGTCTCTTGCCAAATTCTCATCCTCAAAGATACAGGATGAATTGTGTGGGTTTGTTTGGTTTTGTTTTGTTTTAAGACAGAGTTTTGCTATGTAGGCTGGAATTGAGCTCACTACACAGCCCAGGCTGGCTGTAGGAGTTAACAGCAATCCTCCTGCCTCAGCCTCCCAAGTGCTAGAATTACAGGCATGTGCCTCCATGCCTGGCTGATACAGGATCATTTTATTTCCCACTGTTGGGGGCTAATGGAATTTGATTGCTCACAAATGGTTATACTGGTTCTGTGAAATCTTTACACCTCCTGAGATTCACCCTTAAGAAGGGCTAAGATGATGCAATCTCAACTTTGACCTTTATTTTCTTAGCCTGGATGCTAGGATCCCATTACTCTCCTTGTACTATTCAGTTATTTCAATGGGCATCTAGTTATATAATGCAACTCTGCCATCAAAACTAAGGAAAACAAACCCTCTCATCTGAAAGGATATTTAAAAGACAAACTCCAAAACTAAAAAGCAAAGATTCTTTCACTTGAATATTCTTGGGGGCCCTTCATCCTTTTTCCCTTGGAAGAATAACAATTAGAGAAAAAAAGGAGATAACAGATTTGTTACAAGGAATTCTAAAAGTCAGAGGAAGTGATGCGAGGAATAGTTGGATCCTAGGCTCAAAAGCCCTGTTCACCTACCTACTTGCTTCCTTTGGTAGCAGCTCCTCCCAGGGCACGGAGTTTGAGCTCCAGCTCTACCATTTACTTAATGGCTTCAAGACATGGGCAAGTCACCTCCCCAGTGTGAGTCTCAGAATCCTCACCTGTTCCTGGCAGGCGAGTGCTAGCTGCGATTGCACGTGGGCAAGCCACAGCCCACCTCCTCTGTGGATGCACCCACACCTCTCTACCCTGACCTGTGGCACAGGGTTCTGAAGACTGTAAGAGTTCTTCCCCAGCATAGCACTAGGGTTGAGCAGACACGATGGGCTGCAGTACAGCCTTCTGCTTTGCTTTCCCCCATTTGAGAGGCATCAGGCTAACAGCAGAGCCTGTTAACACAGGCTCCGGAGCCCACCCTAGTTTCTGATTCACTGGGTCTGGGCTGGGGCCTGAGAATCTACATTTTATGCAGGTGATACACACAGTGCTTAACCGAGGTTGGATAGTCTGGCTCTGCCATTGAGACAAGTTCATATACATCAATGAACCCTTCTGTGCCTCTGTTTCCCCACCTATGAAACAAAGAGAGAAGCAGTTCCTTCCTGATGTGGATATGAGGAAGAAATAAGCCAATGAGTGCCCGGCTCTAGGTCAGCCTGGCAGGAGGCAGGTGCCGTAGGTAAGCCATTACTATCATAACAGCGCTTGTGTTCCTGCATCGCGCCTGCCCACCTTCACTGGCTTTGCTCTTGGTCAGGAGGACCCCGATGTGCCTGTCTGGATTGGGCTGGCCCCGGGGCTCCAGGCTGGGGCTGTGCGAGTGCTCCCGGCTGCTGTTCCTGGGGTGCTCGAAGCGCCGCTCCGGCTGGACCCAGCGGTGACTCGATCCGGACGGGCTGTCCAGCCCATAGGCCTGGTGGTAGGCACGCTCGTAGTCCCGCTCGTAGTCCCGCTCGTAGTCCCGCTCTATGCTGCGGCCACAGCTGCGGTCCCGCGCTCGGCGATCATCGTGGTCCAGGCCACGCTCCAGGCTCTGGCCGCGGCTGCGATTCCGGCCCCGGTCGCGCTCTTGGTCTCGGTGGTAGCCACGGCCCCTCTCCAGGCTACCCTCCCAGCTGCGGTTAAGCCCTTCACGGCTGCCCGGCAGGCTCCTCTCGCTGTACCCACTGCGGATACTTCTGCTGTCAAACTCGTCCATCGCATCAAAAGCCCGGTCATCGTGGCTGAGGGCAGGGCTGCCTTGGAGTGGGGCCACCTGGACTATCCGCGGCCGCTTGACCACCTGTCATCAAACACACACAGTATGGAGGCAGGACCATGACAATAAACAGCGAAGGGAGGCAAGGGCCCTGGTTCTAGTTTCAATTAAACTATGACCTTCTCCATCCACAGCACCAGAAAAACATGTATCCCTTAAACAATGTTCCTGTCAACTCACTAAACCTGGGGTTCCTCATCTGGAAATAGGTCCAATAAAAAAATACAAGTTTAAAATAAAGTAAGACGATCACTGTGAACCTCTGAGTACAATGTGAATTTACCCAGGATACAAAATGTACACAAAAAACAATAGCATTCCTGTACAATAATGAACCCACCATAAACCAGGAAAACAGTTCTTCTATTCACAATGTCTTCAAAAAAATTAAAACCTAGGAATTAATCTAACCAAGGAGGTGAAAGTTCTCTGTAATGAAAACTGCAAAACTCTGAAGAAAGAAACTAAAGACGACATTAGAAAACTGAATGCCAGCCTTTGCTCTTGGGTAGCAAAATAATCAAGTTAAAATGGCCATAAAGCCATAGATTTACTGCAATACGGACTAAACCACCACAGAATTTAAAATAAAATCCTAAAAATACACGTGGAACCAGAAGGGCAAAGCAATCCTATGCAAAAAGAGCAAAGTGAGGGCGGGTATTCAGCTCAGCAGCATGGCACCTGCCCAGCAGGCGCAAGGTCCTGAGTTCTATTCTTAGTACTAAAAAAGAAAAAAGAGCAAGTGGGAGAGAATCACAATACTGGATTTCAAGTTATACTTACACATGAAGCCACAGGCTAATGCAACGAATTCCTGAACCCCCAATATCACAAATCAACAATGGGATTACATTAAATTAAAAAGTTTTTGCACAGTGAAGAAACTGATCAACAAATTTAAAAAAAAAGATCATTCCACAGAATGGGAAAAAATTTTACACTACTCTTCTGATAAAGAACTATTTAAATATCTAGAATATATTAAGAACCAAAAAAATTAACCCCCCCAAAACAAATGACTTAAATCAAAAAATGGGCAAATGATAAGTACATAAAAAATAAAATGAAAACAACTTTGAAATTCCATCTTATCCCAGTTGGAGCAGCTATCATCCAAAACATAAAAAGCAACATGTGCTGGCAAGCATGCACAGAAAAAGGAGGCATCTACATTGTCAGGGTAATGTACACTCACACAACCACCACAGTTTTCAATATAGAGGTTCCTCAAAACCCTAAAAATAGAAATTCCATACAACCCAGCTATACCTCTCCTGCATGTACTCCTAAAAGGCTTAAATATGTTATAGTGATACATGCATTACTCATGTTCACAGCATCTCCATGTGGAATAGCTAAGCTCTGCAAAAACAACACAGACGCCTATCAACCCACAGATAAATATTACTTAGCCATAAAGAAGAATGAAATCATGCCAACTGCAGGAAAATGGATAGAACTTGATTCTACAGTGGTAAATGAAATGTCAGACACAGAACATTAAATAGTACATGGCTTTTCTCATATGAGAAACATAAAATATAAATAAGTAAATGAGTAAAATAAAGAAGAAATGGTAGGAAACAAGAAGGGAGACCTTTTGGGAGAGGTGTTCAGGGGCACATAAAAAATATATATAATAGTTCCTCTAAAATCTGCTTCTACTCAAGTGTAAAAAAAAATCCTAGGGGCCTTAATGTACCAAGTTATAAAAATCAAATGAAAATTAAAAAGTGACACGTTCTGTATTTACTTGGCTAGATAGACCAGTGGTGGCAAACCTTTGGCAGGCGTGACACAGCGGGTATCATTGAAAGCTCTAAAAGCTTCATCATCATTGGCCTGGACCCTTCTAAAAGTTAATGCCATCAAAGGTGGGGGATAAGAGCTGGGGCAGGGTGTTCCACATTAAGGGGAACTAAGGAAATAAATGCAGTGAGTGGGAACTAGGATTCCAAAAGAGAAAGGGAAAAAAGTGCATCATAGCCATCTTGACATACTTGAAATCCTAGCACTCCAGGACGCTGAGGCGAGAGGGTAGCAAGATCAAGACCAGCTTGAGTAACTTAGCAAGGCCCCTCTCTCAAAATAAAAAATAAAAAGGGCTTGGAATATAGCTTAGTCCTGGAGTAAAAAGATATCCTGAGATATGGATATTAGATGATATTGCAGCAATTAATGTTCTTAGACATGGGCCAGGGATTTAGCTCAGTGGCGCCATGCTTGTCTGGCAAGTGCAAGGTCCTGAGTTTGATTCCTGGCTCCCCACCTCCACCCACAAAAAATTCTTAGACACGATAACAGCATTATAGTGAGTAAAAGTCTTATTTCTTAGAAGCTACGTGTTGAAGAAAGTAGAACTCAACTGTCAAGATGTCTGCAACGTGGCTCAGCAAAGAGGACAAGGAAAGGCCAGGATGTTACCTCATACAACTCCAATAGTCTAGGTTATGGTTTGGGTCTAGATATCCCCCCAAAGCCTCCTGTGGTCATAGGCTGATCTAGAGTGTGTGAAGCTGGAACTGATTCATGATGCAAGGCTAGGCTCAAGGGCACTAGGAGCGCTTCCCTCCTTAAGTAGTCTGCATAAGATAAAAGGAGCAGGGAGACGCTGTTAACGCTCTCACTGTTAACTCTCTCTTTACCTTTGCTGCCTTGCGTGTACCATGTTGTTTCAGCTCTGCCACGCCTGTTTGTCACCCCTGCCTTGGAGTCGGCTGATTATGGACTGAAGCCTCTTCCAACTACAGGCCAAGTAAACCCCTTCTCCTTAAACTTTGGGTGTCTGTTATTTTGTCTCAGCAAGGGTAGAAAAGTAACTAACAGTCTATAACATCACCCTCCAAAGTTCTGAAGATCCAAGCACTACTGTTAGTGGGCCTATCCGTTATGTAACTCCATCAAATGCTCAGAAGCAAGTGGAAGTTTTCCTCTAGGTATAAAAACAAAATGCAGGGCCTGGGATTTAGCTCAGTGGTTCTGCCACCTGCCTCACAAGCGCAAGGTCGTGAGTTCGATCCTGAGTTCGAGCCCCGGTACAAACAAAACAAAAACGCAAAATGCTATGGAGGCAAAGATAAATGTAAAGCCAATACTTACGATGGCAGCGACCTTCCCGCTTTTCCTTAGCTGCTGAACAGCAAATGAATGGAGCACACCCTCCATGGAGGTGCCGTTAACCATAACCACCCTGTCATTCTCTCTGTGAGCAGGAAGTAAAAACAGGTCGTGAAAAACTTACACAGAATAGAAGCAGCAAATCTACCCTAGGTTCCCCTAAGTCCCATCAACTTATTAGGACAGTGGAAAGCACACAGTTCTGAGTGTCTACTGAGAACCACCTGGATATAGAGGCCCGCCCTCCTTAGACTGCAGTCACTACGAGGCTGGCGCCAAAAGGAGTTCCCTTATCAGTTCCTTGCTAGCCATAGTACATGGTGGGCTTCAGACAGTCTATAAGCACAAATAGGGTATTATCCATTTGTGCCTGATTCGAGGGAAGGTCAAGAGTTTGCCTCAGAGAGTTAAGAGAAATTTTAAGATCACAGAATCCTATGATGGCTTCACCTCGTCCCCAAAAATTGTTTTAAAAGTTTACACTGCTCTTGTATGAAAGACTACTCACTCAGTTTCCTCATTAAAATTTTTTTTCCTGGCCTGGGGTTTTAGCTCAGTGGCACCATGCCTGCCTCACAAGCACAAGGTCCTGAATTCAATCCCTGGTACCAAAAGAAAAAAAAAAATATTCCCCCTCCAGGGATGGGATGGAAATTAAACCCAGGGCCTCGTGTGTGCTCAAGCAACCATGCTACCACTGAGCAACCTGACCAGCCATCCTAATTAAACCCTGAGAGGTTGGCAGATGCGGTGGGTGGGTGCACGGGGGCTTAAAACTCCATACTCAGAAACGATTCCCAAACCTAGAAGAAATGTTGGTAGCTATCATCCATGGGAAAACCCCCCAAACTGGATGTTCAAGGTTTGGAGATTATTAAAACATGACGTATTACTTATGACTTGAAAACTTCATGTTACATTAAGTACTTTTTAATTTTAAAAAGTACACACCAACCAGAGCACCCTGTCCAGGGCCCAGTGGCACAGCTGGTATGGGCTTGGGGAGGGCACAGAGGACACCAACCTAAGCAGACCATCGGCGGGTCCACCGGCAAGCACATCAGAAATGACGATAGATGTCTCTCCATTTTCAAAGTGGGGGTTGTCTCTGCCCCCAGACACTGCAATTCCAAATCCTCTTTTGGAATCCTGTTCATTTGAGTTAGGAGAAAAAAAAAAAAATCCTTCTGTAAGTGGCTTTCAGGATTTACTATAAGCACTCAATAAAATAAAGGTCAAATTAATAACCAGAGACAGCTCAGGAACAGATGGGCTTATAGAAGTGAATGAAAACCAAAACAGTGTCACTGTAGTGAGCTGACAGGTTTATAAATGGAAATTCTTATCTGAAAGGAACAGCCTTGTACAAGCTGGAGAAAATGGATAGTAGAGTATGGAGTTATCATGAGAAGCTGCTGGGGCAGGGGAAGGAAACAATGTCTTCTGTCTAAACAGGGCTGTGCTGTGCAAAGCAACAACTGGACCTGCTTGGGTCAATCTGTCCTGAGCTGGAACAATTTCAGTTAAAATGGAATCTGTGAGAACTAATTTTAACTCCAAGTTCAATGAACTGGTGGTTTCATTTTAACACAGGGTAAAAAGAAGTACCTGGATTTTAAACATTAAATTATGGTACTGTTAAGATCTTATGAGAGCAAAGCATTAACCTTTTTCTACATGCATAGAAGATAGGAAATCAAGATTTATTACAACCATGATTGGTCTATAAACGAGTGCTAGTAAACCCAGATAATACACAGTTCTACTTCATCTCAATGTTTATAAAAGTAAACCCAGTTTCATCCACATTATATGGGTATATGTGGCAGTATAACTATAAACCAAGGCTGATAATACAAAAAACTACTTGGAATCTAAGAAAATATTTGGCCCCAAAGAAACGTTCCTGTGTGGGGCCTGCTATGCCGACTAATTACGAATATTTCAGTTCAAAACACACTGGGTTTTTGTCTACTTATCATGAGGCTCTGAATTTGGCAGTACCAGGCATCTGGTTTTAAACAGAGTCAGTTCCATCTTCTATAAGAAGCCCAAGGAGTCCGTCACTTTTTCCAGCTGGGGCCCACAGTTCAAAGGATATATGACAAGTGGGTAGCAACAATATGGACAGGAGTCAGCACAATCTAAGCAGGCTTCATTCCTCACCTAAAAAATGTAGATTACTGACCCAGAAGTTTGAGCAGCTGGGCACCAAAACAATGACATTTTTCCCTACCTGGATTAATTAAACAAGCATTTAATTTGAAAATTAAATTTTCATTAATAACAGGGATCAAAGCTCATTCATGGTTTTAAGAGTCAGAGGGAAACTTCCCCCTCTGAGGAACTTACAATCCTTCAAGAAAGCGACAGAGCCCGGAGGGACTCAGGGAAGGAAGATCACTGATGTACTCCCATGTCTAGAATGTGCGAGGCCCTGGCTCCGATCCCGGTAAGGAAGAGGGGCGCAGAGAGCGACAAAGAGAAAGATGGAGCAACAGAGAGAGAAAAAACAAGAAAGAAAAGAAAACGAAACTGATGAGTGGGTAAAAATGTGTTTTTTAATACAATGGAGTGCCACTCTGCCGTAAAGAAGGATGAGCTCTGGACATTTATAGCTCAATGGATGGACCTTGGGACCCAATTCTTAAGTGAAATAAATCTGACAGAAATGTGTAAATATTGCGTTGTTTCTCTGATCTGAGAAAGTGAATGTGGAAACATGGGCTGAGATGTGTAATGGATGCTGGGAAATGGGAAGAAAGTGTTCAAATGCGGAGGGGAACGGGGTGGGGGAAAGGAAAGGACAAGAAAAAAGTGAACATAGAAGAAAAAATGCTTCTGCAGATAGGTCGGGGGAACTTGGGAGATGGGATACAATAAAATTAAAAAAAAAACATTTTTTAAATTTAGAAGAAACAAACCAAAAAGAAGAGGGAAAAAGAAGAGGCCGGGAGTGGCGTTCTAAACCACACACACGACTTAGACTCTCAGTTAATATGCTTCTTTAGAATGGGGCTAACAACCATCATGCCTGCCTTGAATGTTGCTGTCAGGAGAAAAAGGAACGAGCTAACTTGTTTTTCATTAGCACACGTCTGCAATACGTGATTATATTCATTGTGGGGAGTTGGTACACGTACATAACGCATCTTCATTCTTCTTTTTTAATGAAGCACTGATTTCCTGCCAGACTCCACGAATTGAAAGCTGCATATATTACTTCAGTGGATCAAGAAAGGTAATACCCATGAAACGACTTTTAAATTAAGTAAAAATGTATCTATGTGTGGCTTTCTACTTCCGATGGCCCTTAATACAATCAGGGATGGGACAACATGTCTCCTGATCCCTAAGCCAATCTTTTCAAACTTAGTTTGCATTTAAAGCTAATTTGGGAGTTATAAAGTATGTATGTTTTAATTTAAATTACGCAAGTCGTAAAAGTTACCTGAGGATCCTTTAACAGCATGACCCTCCCGTCCTTTTCCCTCTCTCTCTTTCATAATCTGTTCCGTCTGCAGACAGGCGAACATACTATGGAATCTCTAAAGTGGTCTACAGTATGCAGACCTTAACCAAAAAATTTAACAGCAGCCAAATCTTTGTTAAAAGGCAACTGCCGCCAGCTAATGCCAACAATGCATCAGTCACCACAACGAGGACAAAAACGAAACTGTGCGTGGGCCAAAATAACCACCGTGAACTATAAAAGGCAAAAGACAACTGCAGAACATATGATACACACAGAACTCACCTTTTGTAGGGTCACAGTGTACTGTTCCCATTTTAGCTCCTCCATGCCTGGGCCCTGTTTTAAAAACAAAACCAACTTGATTAAAACCATAAATGTCTCCATGCTAAAAATAACAAAGTGCCTCAGTATATAGAGCCTTGTTCACACTTTCTAGATACCAAAAGGAGTGGATATTTGTTCAGAATGTTGTTACTTTCATACAAACTCTCCTTTCATGAAATGGCCAACTTAGTGACGCTAGAAAACTAGTCAAATATAGTGTCCTAAAAAAGGACAAAAGAGCCCTTTTATTATCATCATTCATACTGTAATAATAAATCCCTTTGTAAAAAAATTTCATGTTAGCGTGAAAGGTGAGGCAAGAGGACCACAAGTTCAAGGCCAGCCTGGAAAACACAGTGAGACCGACTTTTAGAAACAAAACAGGGCCAGGGATTTAGTTCAGTGGTGCTGTTACGTCTTACCTCGCAAGCGCGTATAAGGTCCTGAGTTCAATTCCTGATACAAAACAAAAAACAAAAGCCCACAAATCTAGTTTGAAACATTTGTGTTTTGTGTTTCTGTTTTACTTTGTAGCCACTTTCCCACATGCTCCCATCAAAGGTGAACTCTGAGGCAAGTTTTTTCAGTTTAAATCTAAAGTCCTTGGCCTTAATGGGTGTGCCTAATGAGTAATCTGTGGGAACTTGGAATTTTTCTCCATTAGCAACACTGGGTGCAAGGGAAGAAAACACCTACGTATAGACCACTGGAGCTTCTGTTCTAAAAAATATTCCAAAACAGATGTCTAGGAACACCTCAAACTAATCATTTTAATAGTCACCCCAACAGGCACAAAGGCGAAGGTAAATCCTCTCCAAGGAACATTCTTCAACACAAGTGTAATTAATCTTGTAAATATGCATCTAGGGAACATGAGCTCACTACTTAAACACGTGCACAAAGTTACCATGAGTGGGAGTTAAAAGAAATATAAAGTGAGCAATCAAAGACAGTAAACATTAGAAATGCCAATCACAAACAGAAAAAAGTATATATAATATGTATCTCATGTTTTAAGAATTTAAAAGGGGATATTCAAAGTATAGTGGGGAAAAATGAAAGTATGGTGAAAGAACAAGAGGTCACAGAAAATGATCCGAAGAAATAAATTTAGAAATGAAAGAAATGAAATTATATAAGCAATGGATTAAATCATGTACTGCACTGAGTTCAAGACAACAATGAATTGTATGTAAGGCAGAAATGAACAAAGTACCCAGCACAAAGCCTCAAAAAGGTGTGAAAATCAAAGAGGTTGAGATTCCTGGAGAAGAAAAAAGGCTAGAAAAAAAGGCTAGGGGTAGCTCAGTGACAGAAAGAAGCTCTAGGTTCAATCCCCAGGACACTAAAGAAAAAGACAAAAAAGGAGAATTTCACTATCCAAATGGCAAACAGCTAATATCTCTTCCAGAACAGAAGGTTTTCAGGTTCAGGGAACATAATATATGACAAGCAGGGTAATTTTTTAAAAAAGAAGAAAACCACAGAGGCTTAAATGCAGAACATCTTTCTGCAGAAAAGGATGAGTGTACCTTGAGGGGAACTAGACAAAAGAAAGACTACAAAGGAACAATTAGGACAGCTGACTTCTCAGCAGCAATAATGGAAGCTAAAGACAGGAGAAGAACATCTTTACAAACAATCTGTCAATTAGGTGGCAGAAAAGATATACCAAAACAAAACCGAGGTCAGATTATTAACACAGATTAGGAATAAAATAATTTTCAAAGGAAAATTTTAAGAAAGGAATATAATCCCAGAAGTAAAAGCTTAAAATGCAAAAAAGAAATACTATACTAGTAAGCCTAAATGCATGCTGACTATATTTAACTATAATAATAATAATAATGTCTAATTTATAAAACTTAAATAAACTGAGGGCAGGGACAAGGGGAAAAAATGAGAACCAAGACCTGTCATGTAGAGGTACAAGATCCCAACAATGAATTTAACTGTACTGTATCCCTAAAATGTACCAATAAACTCAATTAAAGCTGAAAACAATTTTAAAAAAAGTTAAATAAGCTAGAAGTAAGCACTGGGCAAGAGGACTTAGTCAAAATTGTTCTACAAGTTTTATCCAGGAGCAAAGTAAAGTTACTGAATGATTTTTAACTTCATTAAGTTAAATCTACATGTCAAATTTTTACAACCACAGAGGAAAAAATAAAATTAATTCAACCAAACAGAAAGCAGAGGAGACATAAGGTGAAATGCAGATAAAGCAAACATAAAACAAACTGTGGTTGTAAAAATGAATACTTAAGAATATAGATCATCATACTATTTAAAACAGGTCAGACTGAACTGAAAACAAGAGCCAGCCATACGGTTTTTAATAGCAAATATTTAAAACCTCAGGATACAGTGTAATCTATATAAACCAAAGACTTTCCTGGACTTATAAAAGTAAGAAAAACTATGTAATTTTACATTTAAAACTTTCAGCGGATTTAGCTCAGTGTTCCACCACTTGCCTCACAAGTACAAGGTCCTGAGTTCGATCCCTGGCACCAAAAAAATCAAACAAAAAAGCAAAAACAAAAATTTTAAATCAAACTGGGCAATACTGCACTGACCTAATAGGACAGGTGGAGAAAAACAGAAACGTGCTTCTTTTTTTCCCAGCTAACAAACACCTAGGCTTGGGGAACGGAGGGCTATGAAAAGGCCATTTTGTTTGCTCAGAAGAAAGGTAAACTAGTGACTAAAACGATTACTCAAATGGAGAGGAATCCTGTGTATGGTCCTGTGGTTCCCTCTGCCCTCTATGTGCTCCCTTCTAGGTCATTACCATGGCCAGTACCATCTGGCTCCAAGAGATCAGAATCTTGCAGTTAAAAAAAAAAAAGCAAACAACCGGGAGGAGGGATGTAGGGCTCTTTGCTGTATGTAAACCTGGGGCCGGGCGGCAGGGTGGAGGGCATAAGCTTCCCAGAGGGGCATGAGGTCAAAGGAACGTATAATCACAGGATGCAGTCAGTAGGTAAACACTCCAAAGGATCGTTATCTAAATTATGTGAAAAAAAAACGAAATTATTTGTTCACCATGATCACTGTTACTCAAGTTTTTAAAAGTGAGACTGTCCCGTAAATATATACAAATAAAATGTTTTTTTAATGACTGAATTTTCAGGTGAGATTTTTCTCTTACTTTTGCTCCACTGTCTCCTAGAGCAGTGTCTGGCATCCACAGCAGGCCCCTAAACATTTTTTCAGTATGTCTAAGAGTGATTACACTACGGATTCACCATTCAATTAACATGATTAAGGCACTAATTTCTATTACTTGTAAATTTTCTTTCAAAAATGCCTATTAAATTCAGCATCTTTGTACCCCCTCCCCCACCTTTTTTTTTTTCCTCACTACTGAGGTTTGAACCTAGGGCCTCTGCACTATCTGTATCTGTATCTCCAGCTTTTTTTTTTCCTATTTATTTCAAGACCTCATATTTTGCTCATTGAACTGTTAAATTGCCCACTAACCTTGAGATCCTCCTGTCTCAGCCTCCCAGACTGAGATTATAGGTGTGCACCACCACTCCTGGATCTCTGCTTCCTTAACAAGTCAGGCCCCTACTGTAGGGTTTTCTAGGTGTGCTTTTACAGCCATGCCTTTCTAGAATTTCAATACATGTCTAAATTAGCATTTTTTCGAAGTTCAAGGTAAAATAATATTTTATATTACTGTGCAGGAGAAAGGGGTGGATCAATACATGCAGACTTAGTGTAGTAACTCAGCTTTCCACGCATTTTGAATGTATATTTTCAACACCAGGTTATTAAAAAAATAACAGCACAGAAAATATGGACTACAAAAAATTATGTGTCTAGCATATTTAACACATTCCTGTTGGCTTGAACCATTAGTAGTATATGAGTGACTGTCCCATCGGGGGGCCTTGTATCACCTGATGGGACTGTTCTATGCCACCAACGGGACAGTCATGTATGTACCACCGGTGGCTAGGGCTGCCTGGAGGTGAGACATATGAATTACAGCCCCATCGTGAACATGTTAAACTATGCAGGGTTTAAAAATTTTCAAGGGTTACATTTTATTTGAAGATTTTATATTTTAACTGGCTTTACAACTCTAACACAACACATAAAAGAAAATACATACCAGCTATGTACTGCATTATATCATTGCCATAATTATTGGAAGTCTAGATACTGAGCCATCTCAGGTGTTGGGGTGTGGGAAGAGTAGTGGCACAATGTCTTTTCAATCTTGGAGAGCTCCCTATGGCTACAACGCAAGTAATGGGTTAGAAAAAGTGACCAAGTGTCAGACACCTTCAAAATGTAGTGTTTTAGAGATTTTTTAAATGTGGCTCTTGTAAGCCGGACGTGGTGGTACACACCTGTAATTCCCAACACTCGGGAGGCTGAGGCAGGAGAATCGCTGCGAGTTTGAGATCAGCCTGGGCTACACAGTGAGTTTCAGGGCAGTGTGAACTACACAGTGAGACCCTGCCTCAAAAATAAATATATATATGTGGCTCTTATAAATTAGATCCATGTGGTGGTGTTTCAGAATGGCTGTTTATGTGCTACTTCAGACAAGAGAAGCAGTAGTTCTCTGCTACTTGTTCTTTTTAAGTGAAAACTGCAGACAGATAAAAAAAATACATATTGAAATGACAAATTAGGATTTTCTAGTATGTGTCAGTAAAATTTTCTTCAAGGGAAACAAAAAGCAAAAGCTCAAATGCACTCTTGTAGTAAGTGGGAACCGGTCGTCCCTTTCTGCCCTTCCTGGTCCTGATGCCCTTCAGTTTCAGACATGGCCTTCGTAAAGCTGACCACCACCGCTTGGAAATGATCTTCTGAGCGCACCTGCATCTGTGAGCTCACCTTCTCAGTATCCGCCCTGTGTGTGAAAGCTGGTTGGTGAATTCCAGCCAAGTACATCAATCTGCCAGTTGTTTAAAAAAAAAAGCTGCCAACTCTTCTTGGAATATAGTTTCATCCCCACATTAGTAAAACTCATTACATCTACCCCTAAA